TACCAAATCACTTTACAAGAATGGGATCAGATCCCTTTAGCTAGTTTAACTAAGAATATTGTCTTTGGTGTTATGCCAGTCGACCAACGGCCGCATGCGTAAAAACCGGGCGCGTCTTTGATCTGGTCGAAACAGCATCAACCATACTCATTTTCGCATTCCGGAGGAAATCATTTCCGTAAACTCACGACTTGCGTATGGAAACAACATTCCATTTAATCCCCTGTATCGTATCGTAGCGGTACCTCAGAGAGGTTGTCTTGTACAATTCATGCCTGCGCAATAGTCGAGGCTCTCCTCAAGCTTAGTACGAAAAGTGTACGTCAGGGTTGCTTTATTTCTCGTCTCATTTGTGTGGTGGATATAAGGCTTTATTTCCGAGTGAGGGTAGTGGATACAGTGTGCTCTGAGGCACACTGTTGATGGTGAAGAGCTCGGTAAGTTGCAGGTTTGGAAAATTTCTGGAACTGGTGTGAAAACTTGCTTGTCGTGAAGGATCGAGTATACGCCACAGGTGTAGTGTACAGTGCTAAAATATGGAGGTTAAATGTGGAAGCCAAATACTAACTGTCGCGTGTCGAAATTCATTCCTTGTAGGGTACTGCACGAATCGAATGAATTGCGATGGTTCGAGCATGTGATGCTTACAAAGGTCGGTAACAATAAGAAGGTTGACTTCAACTGGACTATGACCTGGCTTTAATAAATGAAAACCTTAACAATAGGATCAGATCACCCGGACCACGTAAGTATCCTCGGTTGGGGAGCTTGATATCGATCGTGAAATAATTTTCGGTGGCCCAGAATTGATAAGACTGCACACATAATGTGGCGCCTGTTGAAAAACGAAAGGGCTCATTTAAACCCAACGACTTAATCTATGCGTATTTGCGGGTGTTTGGTTTACGCCCAACCAAGATCGGAGCATGGAAATGCAGAGCGGATGGGCATAAAAATCTGAAACCCATTTCCTTGGTTTGCTACCTGGGTACTGTTTTACACCCCAGCAATTATTATTAAACAATTCCGCATCCAGATAGATACACAACGTATTCCACAAGATAATTTTTTGAGGGATGCAACGAATTTAAATGAAATATTCCTGCGAAAAATACATCCTTAGGAAGTAAACTTTTCATTTTAGCCTAAAGTCTTTCCACAATGTTCGTATGAGTGAGTTTAGAATTACCAAACTGGTTAAACAGGAATCCCTTTTAAACCATCATTGAGCAGCTGATTTTGCTTTTGGTTCTTTGAAAAGCATGCTCACGCTTAGGGCGCTTACTGTTTAGTTCAGTTTTCACAACCATTAGTCATGCATTTTCATGCGCCGGTTTTGGTTGCTGTCTTTTGGTCGCCCGTTTAGATAAAAGAGCAGAATGAAGAGTGGATAGACTGGAATTGCAAGAATAATGTGTAGGTACACGAGCGCCACTGTTCGCGAAACCCAGCCATATCACTCAGTGTCTCTAAGCACCGGTTACCATAGAGTTGGATCAGATGATACTTCTTGTTG